TCATCATAGTCAACTCCTAGAGTTTGAGTGAAACCCTTCGCAACCAGTCGTGCCTTGAACGTGTGCACTTTCCCATCCATTTCGGTCTTCTTCTTGAAGATCCACTTGCACTCGACCGTCTTACGACCCGGTACATTGTTAACCAAGTTCCAAACTTGATTGTCATACATGGACGAAATCTCGTTGTCCATTGCCTCTTTCCACTTCGTAGACTCTGGGCCCGCCATGGCTTCCTTGTAGTTGTTAGGTTCATCCATATTTCTCAGTGTACTATCACTAATAAACGTATCACCCTCAGCAGTTATATGGAAACCATATAATACAGGTGGAACACTAACTCTACTGGAACGTCTCAGAGGTAAGGACTCGTCAACTGGTTCAACAGGAGTCTCCTCCTCAAGTTGAGTGCTAGTGTTAGAGGTTCCTTCATCGCTTTACTCTTGAAGCTCTTCAAGATCAATTTGCCTCCCACTGTCCTCTTAGCAACTTTCTAGTTACCAACACTTAACAATGAGATAGAAATGTCTATCCAATCCTTTATTATCCACACACTAGGACACACATCACTTTTGATGTATCATTCTATCAAAATAAGAATAACATCAATCCTCTTTTTCAATCACAATATCTTTACGAGGAGAGCCAACTCATATTTCATTTTGCAAAATGACATTTCGTTCTTACACAAGAGCAACCTTGATATAACTCATTGGACCTACTAATATCACTAGTAATGGCCCTAAACCACTCTGGTTCCTTCTTGCACCTCATGGTTTAAGCCTAGGTATGGACTTACCAAACTTAATTCGCTTAAAATATGGCTCTGGTACAAACTTGTAACACCTGATCTTTTATATTAAAATACTATGGCTTATAAAACATTTTCTGTCAACGGAACCCATTTATAAAATATGGTCCCGAAAATTTTCTCATTTCATTTATAAATATATTAGTAAAAAGATTCCTTTGGGTATTACAACTGATACAATAAACCATAGTAAAGTTATGCCCAGTTTCTATCCATTGTCTCTCTGCTATTTTACTCGGCTCTCTAGGTTGTATCTTAATACCTAGAATACATGACGTTTCAAGCAAAAATACGTAAGACAAAAACTTTCTTGTGAGCTACATGGGTTTAGACACAAAATCATTTGATAAAATTATAATTTCACATGCATTTATAAACAAAAGGCAACCCATGATATGTATTTCCTCACTCATTACAAATCTTCTCGGGCCTTCCCGAGCCTCAGATATCTGTCAAGTCTAATACCCATAAGGACCACCCCCAAATTAGGCTAGTCACATAAGTGACAAGAACATTCACACCCCTAATTGGGCTGGTCACATAAAGCAGCACATAAACACCCTAGATTAGGCTTACATAGGGGTGACAATTGATGACACGACACAACAAAAATGCACTACACGAAACGAAATTGCGACGAAACTGAAATTCGAATTCGTGTTCGTGTCATGTTCGTGTCAAGTGTAAAAAACACAATGCCGTGTCGTTTCGTGTTTGTGTTCAAGATTCAACACGATTTAGCATTTATATGTCATGTTTTTCGTGTTTTGTATGATTAAATATTAATTAAATAAATCAGTTGCTATTTTATGACATCTTTGTCGTGTCGTGTCGTGTTTTTTGTTTTTTAATCGGTTCGTTTTCGTGTTAATTAAAAAAATACGACATCGTGTCGTGTTCGTTTTACATGAAACCTTATCGTGTCGTGTCGTGTCAAACAGAAACACAACACGATGGCCCGATTTGCCACCCCTAGGCTCAGATACGCTGAGCATCATCAGAATATACTGAATAATTAAGGCCCCTTGAATACACGTTGAACGAGCTAGTCACATATGTGACTCAGAATTCTAGCCTTTATCGAGGATCAAATCACCCATGTAAGGCCCCGTAATTGATTCCCACGTGAACCACTAGGCAACTTTGGTCCTCACGCTGACCCCTTGGACTAGCCGTCACTTTCTCATGACTATACAAATCACTCACATGATGCATGATCACTACTTTCTTTTACTTACTCAATCACACACAAATGATTGATGTTATGGTCATGCACTTTCATTAATAACATTGCATAGTAAAATAGTCGAACATGCTCTAATTGTAAAATGTAGTTCTTTAATCCTTTTCAACAATTTATGTAACAAATCGTAGCTAGCTAACCATAGATCATAAAAGAGCTCATTTGTTCGAAAACATTTTCCTTTCAAAATCTTTAACTAACTCTTTAGAAAAAGAGTTTGTTTACTTTCTATCTTGGATTTATTACTTTTTGAAGCAAGAAATATTTTCACAGAAAAACTATACTAATATGCCATGTACCTCAAAGGAAAAATCCACATGTACTCACCTCGCTAGTTAGTGAAGACTAACTTTCAATTTGGCTTCTAGCCTCACTCTATCTCTTAGTTCAAACGCTGGTCCAACCTATCTGGACAAATACCAAGTTCCTCAGAACTTGTCTTAATACACTTAGGAGCTTATTTATCATATCAATTACAATGACCTTTTCCTGATCTCTAATACAGCTTGGTAACCATTTGTTACCAAATCACTAAGCTCCTAAAAACCATTACCAAATGGCTTAACTCCATAAGCCAATAGTCCAATCTTACAATCGGTGTCGGGCAAATTAGTGAACTAGGGTTTACAATCCTCATTATCCAATCGAGAGTTCCACCACATAAACTCTTTATCTATTTCTTTATCCGTCAGCTCATAACAACATTGGGTTAAGAGTTTCAAATACTATATTGGGTTTATCAACCCTTCATGACTCAATATTTACATAAAAGAAATTACGCATTAACAATCGAGAGGATACCTTAGCCCAAACGACAATCGTACCCTTGTTAGACATCTGTATCTAAGCCATAATCGTCGCTCATCGACTCAAATCTCAACTCTTGCATACTGAAGTTAAAACGACCTTTTGAAGGCTACACGTTGACATGTGACTGCTTGGAGCATTCTTCAGAAAAACGTCCAATGAATGACAAATTATCGTTATTTATAGGTTGAGAAATCGGGATCTGCGTTGTTCTTTCCATAAGGTGGTGCTGCGACTTGAGCTATTTGTCACCTTCCTAACTGCCACGTGTAATCTTCGATCTACACGTGCTTTCATTACTCAGCACCAGACACACCACATCTTTTAAAAAGGCACACCGCGCTTTTCGGTTTTTGCCAAATTTTCTCGAATGGCAACATAGTTTCTATTCCAACTTCGAATGGCCATAACTTTCTCATATGAAATCCGTTTTTGATAAGCTTTATATCCACGAAATTGTATCACAGTTAACTACAACTTTTTTATTATTACTCCTGCATAGAGTAAATCGATTCTCAAATTCCCACGTCGTTATAATTTCACATAACAATAACCTACTATAATGTTCATGCATATCAATTCACCACAACTCTCAACCAATCCCAACCTTACAGGTTCTAATCCAATAAATCATAATATTGTATTTATCACGAAATTAACCCAATATAATAATAAACATACATCTAGATGACATATATATCTAGAAAAGAAGTGTGTTACCCACTTGGTTAGTTAGTGAAAACTAACTACCATTCGGGTATCCATAAGATCATGAATAACTAGAAAGGTAACATAAGAGCATGAAACTGTTATCAAAAGTAAAGATTAAGAAACAAAGAAGCGAGACTATCCATCAAACCTAATTTTTCGCCTACAAACCACTTTATCTAAGGTCATGTCCTCGGTAAGAGAAAACTCCTCCATGTCAAGTCTCACATTATCCTCCCACTTCCATCTTGGGCGTCCTCTCATCCTGTCACCCTCAATCACAATTGATTCTACCCTCCTTAATGGCGTTGATGGTATCCTCCTTAAGAAATGTCCATACCATCTCAAACATCCTTCCTTTAATTGCATACAGTATAATCATATTATACCCTTATATGTACGGGAACCAAACGGAAAAACCGTTCATATGTTTGGTGGTTAAGTAGCTACCATAACTCACTTTCCAACCGACACAACGTTTCCAATAATCACGATGTTACAGAATATCCTAACGTCTAACTTATTTTCAACATAACTATTGGAAAAACAAATTATCGAGAACAACAATAAAATAAGTTTACACCTTGTAAATTGAAGTAATACACATTGAGTCCAAGCCGGTAAGCATAGTTATTCATAGATGTAGGATCGTCATTGCAGTACACCGGAACCATTCCATTTTTTCAGGCTTCTCTGATCTCCCTACGCACCACATTTTTAATTTCAATCGAAAATCAGCAATTCCTATTTCTATCAGGAAACATGTATGTTGTTGAAGCAATATATATTTCAAAAACAAAGAATAGTGAACACGGAATTAGGATCGGTGGATGGGGTAATCTTTCAAATTGAAATTCTTGAAGAAGTTGAAGACGATGACAATTAAGGACATGGCGTGGCAGCTTCCATTTCGACTTGAGACAAGGATGTAGAAGACGATCACAAAGGACAAATATGGAGCTAGGGAAGAAGACGGTATATACATACAGGTTTAGGATAAATCACAACAGCAGGACGTTTTTATTTAGAGACGAAGACCAAGAGGTGGTAGTTTTGGTGATATGCAGTTTGTACATCAGCCGCTTACATGCTTACATGGCATTAAAATTTTAGAAAACACTAACGGTTAAATAGTTGCATGCCTATAAAAATTATGTAACGTGGACATCTTTTTCATACTTTCATTAGTAATTAATCGTAAATAATATTCTTACAAAAGTAACCTGTTCCATATCTTGATAGTTGATGAACGTATAGAAAGTTTATATCACGGCTTGAAAAAGTCAAATATAACCTTAATTTGATGTTTACGTTTGTGCACATTCGGTTTTTATTGCTGCAGATATCACTATGGAGTATATAAAGCCAAAGGAGAGTATCATTTTAAGTGTTTCTTCTGTGGATGATAAACTCTCATCTAAATGGTTATATAGCATGTCAAGAAGTGTGGACAATACTGAAGAGAGGATGCTGGCCGTAATTACCAAATGTGACCAACTCCTCGATGATGATGATGATGTCTTTCAGGCTCTTACTAAACTCAAGGTTCGTGGTGGGTATAACTTTGTTAGAAACAGAATTGACGATGAAACTCACGAGGAAGCTCAAATCCGAGAAGCCACACTATTTGAAGCTCACCCCTTGTTGTCCAAGATTGAAAAGTCCATGGTGGGTATTCCTGCCTTGGCCAGTAGGCTTGTTCAAATTCAGTTAGTAATCATATTGAAATGTTTTCCGGACATTGTGGATAAGATCAATGAGGGGATCAATATTTTGGATTTGGAGCTCAACCAATTACCCAACAATTTTATGAGTAAAGCTGATGGACTGGTTGCATTTATGCATATCATTAGGTCCTTCACGGAAACTCTTCAAATGATGTTCATAAAAGGAGAATACAATGAGTACGTGGATTTTAAGAAAATGCATTGCAATGCTCGGTTAATTGACATGCTAGATGAGTTTTCAAAAAACCTCCATTCGAGTGTCCAATTCTCTGAAAGTTTCCTAGTTGAGGAGATGCAGGTTTTAGAGGAAACTAATGGAATCTGGTTGCCTCATTTCCTTCCTCACTCATTTTGGATTAGGAGGAAAATGAATAATGTCTCTACTTTTGCCATTCTTTTCGTGAAACAAGTGTGGAGTTATCTTGAAATTGTTTGTGCTAGAATTTTAATTGATCACTATGGGGATTATCCACAATTACTTTCCTCCATGAGGAAAGCAACTCATAATGTGATCGAGAAAATGAAGTTTGAGTTTATGGAGAAAGTTGTTGAAATGATAGAGATGGAGAAGACCACATACTATACATGTGACCCTGATTTTGTTGCTTCTTGGAACATGTTAATTAGCAACCGCGACAAGTTTATGAAGGCAATGTGCAATCATTTGGAAGAGCTAAGTATGGAAGGTCATGATGGCACTGTTAACGTTAAGCATCTATTTAGTATTCCGGAAAATACAAGGGATCAAGCATTTGATTTAAAAATGAGAATGACGGCTTATTGGAAAATTGTTCTGAAACGAATGGTGGATCGTACTGCGCTTCGGCTTCGGTTTATGATTCAAAAAGTGGTGAACAAGGAAATGGAGATGGAGATAGTGAATGAGATGATGATGCATGGCGGAGGCATAGAAAAAATGTCCGAGGAACTATCATCCACGGGCAAAGAGAGAGTGAGGCTTCAAAGAAGCATTGGGTTGTTCCAGGAATCAAAACAAATCATGGAGCAAGTTCAAGTGTAAACTAAACTTGGTTCCATCAACATCTTGCAAGAACGAAGGATTTGATAATTAAAATAATAATAATAATAATAATAATAAATACAAAGACATGTATACCGCTTTATTTAATAAATGAATATTAAATTGAAAAAGATTACACTTTTCATATTAGCCCCAATTTCTTTGACATCTCCCAACTGCATGAAAGATCCCGTCAGTTACATGATATTGCAGGAAATCGATGAACACAAAATATGGGTTATTGCTTTGGTGGCGACGGAAATGGCAACAAAGTGAAGGAATTCGTCTGAAAATACCATTGTTGAGGATTAAGATGTAGTGAAACAATTCCGTTGAATAGTACTGATTAAATAACGGGTTTGTCAATATATGTGAAACTCGTGTTGGTTTTAAACTTATTCCCCTCGATTAAATAACGGAAATGGCAACAAAGTGAAGGAACTCGTGTTGGTTTTAAACTTATTCCCCTCGATTTTCACTTGGCTAACAGGTCAAACAGTACTGATTAAACCCCGGGTTTGGATCACCACATTGACCACAAACTCATTTGCAACAAAAACATTCTCTAAACATACACCTCAGTTGGATCACCACATTGACCACAAATCCAATAAAATCACCTCAAAATCAACCTATTCACCACATCCCATTATTATTAGCCCTAAAACACGCTTCCTCCACCAATTGAGCTGCAACCCCAACATAATTATGTGGTGTCAACTTTAAAAGCTCTGTTTTTGCTTCAACCGGTATTTCCAACCCTTTAATGAATTCAGTAATCCTCTCTTCATTAACCACTCTTCCTCTCATAAGCTCCTTCAGTTTCTCATAAGGCTCCTCAACACCATATCTTCTCATCACCTACACACAAACACAAAAATAAATAAATAAATAAAAACTATTTTCGATTAAAATATAAAATTTGAAAGCCAGATACAGATACATACTGTCTGTATCGGTTCAGCAAGAACCTCCCATGAGTTGTCCAGATCCTTGTTTAAGGCAGCTTCATTCACCTACAACACACAAACATAAAGATGTTCAAATACAAATAAAATATTAAAATCTTAACCCAATTAAAAAAATAAATAAATAAATAAATTGTTCATTTTATTACCTGAAGCTTCCTGATTCCAGCAAGTGCACTCTTGTAATCCCACACCAATGTTTCTCAAAACAGTAGAATCAGTCAAGTCACGCTGTAATTTTAACGAAAATGGGGGGTCAAGGGTAAAAAATATGTTTACATGATAAATTTGGAGTAAATTGCAAAAATGGTCCCTGTGATATCCCAAAAAGTGCAGTTTGAGTCCATTTTTCATTAAATTGCAAAATTAGACCCTGTGGTATCCCAAAAAGTGCAGTTTGAGTCTTCTTTTTAGACGGCAGTTAACTCGAGAGACCAAATCTGCATGGAAATTTCAACTTTGGACTGACCATGCGAAAGAAAAAAAAAGGACTCAAACTGCAATCTTTGGAATACCACAGGGACCAATTTTGCAATTTGCTCATAAATTTATATACCTGCCAACGGGAGATAGGTAACTTCATGCTTAAATGGTCTAAAATTGCATTAGCAATTCCAAGATTTCCTTCACTGTTTTCAAAGTCAATGTATTGGGTTGACTTTGTAAGGCATAGTCGATTCCACCAGCTTTAGTCACCTACACAATAGTTTTAAAATGTCAAAAGACCCAATTGATTATCACTTTATCACAATTCACAAAGATTCTGGAAAGTTTACCTGTTTGAAGTATCCAACAGAGATATATCCCCATATGTCTTTATCAAAATCAAGCAAGATGTTATTAAATCGAATAAATGAATGGAAAAGTTTTGCCATGTAATCATGAGATTCAATCTGCGTCACAAATAGGGTTGTTTTAGAAACAATGTAAGCAACTACAGTATACATAATACAGATTAAGGAATAAAAATAAAGCATACTTGTGTTACATCATTATATGCCACAACATGTGCATTGTAGTTCACAACTGCTCTTGCAAATTTCTCCAAAATTTCTACTTTTTGAAATATCGTGTCTTTCTCTGCTTAATCTTTCAGCAAATATCACCATTTCCTTTCCCAAAGTTGTAGGTGAAGCTGGCTATAGAACAACATATAAAACAAATTATTAATTACCCTTTTAAATTTATAGATGTTATAATTAAAAAAAAAAAAAAAAAGATTTTTTTTACCTGTCCATGAGTTCGAGAAAGCATAGGAATGTGAGCATTGGCTTTTGCCATCCCTGGAAGAATAACCAAGTTTAATGATTCTTTAAGCATTAGACCATGAGCTAGATTGTTTATGTCTTCTGATGTACATCCAAAATGAAAAAATTCAAGCACCTGTACGTTTTTTAGAGTAAAATGTTATATTTCTTGCATTAAACCTAAAAGATATGACATTGACATTGACACTGACCTTAGCTATCTGTGGATCTTCTTGACACTTTGTTTTAAGAAAATACTCGACTGCTTTCACATCATGATTAGTTATTCTCTCGATATTCTTCACTTGCCTTGCATCACCATTGCTAAATCCATCAATTAGTTCTTGTAATTTCTTTTGGGATTCATTGCTAAAGCTTGGAACCTCAGATACTTGAGGAATCTGTGAGAGCTTTAGTAGCCACTTTACCTAAGGTATAAAAAAAGTAAAACATCAAAACAAATTTTTATATTACTTTGAGTGAATTGGATTTTGTTTATTCACAATGATACCTCAACCAGGGTGCGATAGTAGATAAGACCATATTCACTCAAATAGTGGGCGAGATCTTCGACTTTATTCCTATAACGCCCATCTAAGAGACTTAGCAGTTAAACTCGAGAGCTCAAGCTCAGAAGAAAATTCAGAAGGCTTCACTTTTACCTGAAATTATATGTAACTTTTCAGGAAATGTAGACAAGAAGCATATGTAGAAATTATAGTAAATAGATAAAGTAATAGGAATTAGGAAAAGGTTTTACCTTTTCTACAGCTTCAATCTTGCTATTGGCCTCCTTTAAAGTTGCTTTGCAAGTGCAATTTTTGCGAGGAAGTGTCACATAAGATGAAGGAGTTGAAATACGGTTTTGGGTTGAATAAGATTGTTCATGGAGGTAACTTGCACGAGTTAAGTATAATGTTGGACAGCTGCCATTTTGAACTTTAATGCAAGATCCGATTTCCATGAATACTTCAAAAGCTTCAAAAGAATGATGTAAGAATGATAAACATTATTTCTCAACATTTTCTAGTATAAATATGGGGTGAACAGAAGGGTTATTTCTACAACTATATACGTTATTAAAAGCCAAACATTTCTGAAACAATCTAAAAATTCTGAAACAAATTAAACAGTAAGCTACTAAGATTTAAACCCGAACACAGTAAAATCTCTAAATTTTTTAAAAATTTACGTGCTTAAAACTCATAAACTGCAACAGATTAAAACCCCAATTTTCTAAAAATTCTGGAGCATTTCTGAACTAATCCATACATTTCTGAAACTATCCAAACATTTCTGTAACAATCTCAATATACTGAAAGTATCAGATAAATCTCAATCTCAATATACTGATAAAAGTATCAGATACGCAAAAACAAAAATAAAAATGCTTGAAATCGGAGAAGGTGAAGGAGAAAACTAAAAGTACAAATTTCGAAGTAGTAGAATCAGTGGAGGCGTTAATTCGAAGCTGGAGATAGCCAGATAGGAGAAGGAGAAGGAGAGGAGAAGTAAGCAACGGGCGGACGCACTGCTTTTAAGATATGGGGGCACGTGCCCCGAAAGCTAATTCACTTGACATGTATTTTGAATAAAGCCGCCAAAAATCGATCCAACCCGCCAACCCAACCCGAACCAGTGGCGGATCCAGGATAAATATCAACCGGGGTCCAACCTATAACTAACAATAGTCCCTTCTGGCGACGGTGGCCGAATATACCTTAGGCGGCAACTGTAGCATTCCTCCGGCAATGGTGGCAGTAGGAAGAAAGCAACAAATTGATGTGGTTTCTTATGAGTTATAAAAATAGATGAAATTTTTGATGAGTTTTCAAAAAAAATGAAAAAAATCTAATGGTGAAAACTGAAATTGCGTAAAAATATATCCATTACACTATTCTTTTAAATAAGTGAAGATGATCAAGAGGGTGCCAAGAGAAGTCTGCACAAATTTAAAAGAATAATTTTTTTTTCCTAATATATAAGATGCGTCCTATTTTCAAGTGGGGCGATGGACACCACTGTTTCTACACTACATCCGCCACTGACCTGAACCAACCCAAAATTAGCGGGTTGGGTTGAGATTTTCAACCTATTTAACTTAAATGGGTCAACCCGTCTAACCTATTTAATTAAATAGGTTGGGTTGGGTAAAAATTATCAACCTGTTTTCAACCAGTCAAACCATTTAACTTTAATATATATATTTAATTTAATATTATTTAATTATTATCATGTATTAATATAAGTATTAATTTGTAAATTATAATGTGGCATTATTATTATCTATGTTAATAAAATTCAATCCTAATTTTCATCCTATTTTAGCGCTGATAATACTGGTCACTCTCCAAAATCACGGTAAAACTAAACATTTTTCATGTTATTTGAACAATTTATTTGTATTTATGAATTAGGGTTGTGCTTTTCTCATAATTATGAAGTTTTATTTACGTTTTATAATTTAAATGGTATAATATTTATTTATATAATTTATTTAATTGATTTTAAATGGGTTAACCCAAGTTTACCCCATTTATTTAATAGGTTGCGTCGGGAACTATATAAACAGGTCAACCCGGTGACAACCCATTTATCTAAAAGGTTGGGTTGGGTTGGAAATATCAACCCATTTAAATAAACAGCTTGGGTTGGGTTGAAATTTTCAACCCAATTATTAAATGGGTTGAACCCGAACCCAACCCAGGTCGACCCATTGCCACCTCTAATTTTGAATGAGAGAAATAGGCTTAAAAAGATTACCAACATGGAGGCCCATAATGAACCGGCCCAATTAGTCAAAAAAGAAGTAAAACTCGGTAAAAAAACACAATAATGCATCTAACGTTTAGCAAATTTCATCGATAATTGTTTCTTATTATAAAATGAGCTATTTAAGATGGTTAATCTCCTAAGAATACGAAAAAGAAAAACAGAGTCTCACACAATTTTTTGATGTTTTTCATTCATGCAATATGAAACTTAAATATATTGAAAACGGAATGCTAACACAAATCTTAGAGATCGTGGGTGCAACAATAAAGCTTTAACCTACTAATCGGAATGTCTATTCAGAAAATAAATGAAACAGCACACGAGCTTTGACTAAGTAATCATGTGGGAATCAATCCAAAAATTAGACAGGCTTTTTCACATTGTGTTTGAGCCGAAGATGCATCTTTGGGCTAGTTGCTACTGGTACTTCTTGGTTGGGTTGTATGTGGGTCATATCAATACTCTCCCTATGAGAAACGACCTCGTCCATGAGGTTAGGAAATCTTTGTTCTAATTCGCTACTGTCTTTCTATGTAGATTATGAGAGGTCCGGATTGGCCATTTGATGAGTACTTGAGTTTGAACGCTAGCAAAAGTACGGGTATGCATGATATGTTTAGGAGTATATGTTGGTTTTGGTTCTTCAGTGATCCATTTAGGTGAAATTTTTTCTAACCCTTGCTGAGTGTAGCTTGGTTATAACAGCGAAATGCGGAATACAAAGTTTGAAAAATGTTAGAAGGTCGAGGCGATAGGCTACGGCTCCAATACGTTCAAGAATTTTATGTCACACCCCCAAACCAAGGATGACAGTAACGTCCGGGGGTGGCGGACTTCATGTATAGTATCATAACAACGAGTATAATAGTGACCAAAGCAAATACAACCATCATAATATAATTGAAAAATGTACACCATAGTATGAGTTTACATGTTTTAAAATCAATTACACTATGATGACAAAATGAACTGTTTGACGCCTTAGCGTCCCATCCTCAAAAGTTGCACTTTACCTGTTTTACTGATTTCCTGAGTATACAAGTAGTTTCAAAAAAAGTGTCAACAATTAAGTTGGTGAGTTCATAAGCTTTTGGATGTAGAGTTTGAAAACCTTTGTTTGTAAATGTAACGTATACTCAAGAAAAATCCAATATTTTCCTTATAAAAATGTTATGTAGTCTTAAATTCCAAGACTGAATGTATGTGTGTTTTGTACTTGTAATGTGTTTGTAAGCAATTTCAAAATAGGTAAAACCCCTTTTTAAAGTAGAAATTCCCGTAAACTATATGTGTCGTTATCTCCCTATGTGAGTCGCTATAACCATACTATAACAGAGATGCCTGCTGCGACGTTCTTCAGGCGTCGGAATCGAAATGACATTTGTCACCCCCGATCGGCCGATCGGGCTTTTGCAAGCAGAATGGGTGTGGGTTGTCAATCCCAATATATATCTATACACAATTATCACGCTCTCCCTACAAGATACTCTGGTTATAACTGTTCAGGAAATTTTAACTCGTACTCTAAGAGTACAATGAAGACTAGTCTCACAAATTACGATAACGAGTTTACGTGTAGTATGCGTGTAAAACCTTTTATGTGGTAGAATTGAAATCCCTTTTCGTGTAGTATGTTTGTAATGTGAAATCCATAAACTATACCTATTATAGTCTATCATGTGGTAAATGAAAACCCGTTTGTATTGAGAGTAAAACCCTTTTCTGTGGTAGAATTGTATTGTAAAAATCCATAAACTATACTTATTATAGTTTATTGTACTTATTTAAAGTGTATAAAAAACCCTTATCATGAATGACTAATTTCTGTTTATGATGTTAGACTAACAAGAAATACATTCAAAATTTATAAACTTATTGTTATACAATTTGCTCAACATGCTACAAAGTGTTGTTAATATTGTAAGCTATGTAACTAGTTTTTAACTTTTCTGCACTGCTTTAGAAAAATCATAGAAAAATCATACGAAGTTGAAAACTGAGTCCGTAAACTCGAAGAGTTTAGAAAATGTGTCTAGTTTATTCATATTTTTTGTTATGATTTTTAGAAGTCTCTAACTTGTGTGAAAATGTTCATATTCACATACTGGTCCGAATTCGTTTCTGAAATGATAGGCAGTTTTGTAAAAATCACCATAAATTGTAGAAAAATCGTATGTAGATGTGCAAGTAGTCATTAGAAAGATATAAACCTGAACTACTCGCATATTAAACAGTTTTGAAAGATATTAAGTTTAACGTGGTCAAAACAGTCCGTGAATAGGACTAAACTTTCCTGTTGAAAGCTGATGTTTGAGTTTAGTTAAGTTGTTGGTGTTTTAACTTGTATTCCCCCCCCCCCCCCTAAAACTCGAAGAAAACATGAAAATGTATGGGTATGAACTCACCTTGAGTGATTTTGTGGGATGGATGTTGAAGAAAAGAAGTTTCTAAGTCAAGAACACTTGGAAGTTGCGTGAAGATTTGAACATCTAAGAACAAATATGACGATATTTGTATAAGGAATCCATGATTTGTGTGAAGAAGTGTAGAATATTCAAGAGTAGGGTGAAGATACTTACCAAGAGTGAGGAAGAAAGCTCAAGATCAGCCTTGGATTTTTTCGAGTTCTTGGAGAGAGAGAGAAGGTGAGAGAGAAGTGAGTTTGTTTTTGGTGAGAAGTGAAGTCTTGGAGGAGAGATAAGGATTTTCCAAGACTTGATTAATGTAACTTGTTGGAGAAGGGTGTGAAAGTACAAATAGTTGACTAAGGCTGATGTGAATAGTGACTGGAGGTTGTCATAGAGTGGGTATGGGAGATGGCTTGTTGTCATAGCTATATGGGAAAAGTCAAAGTACCTTCTTGTACTTTGCACTTTTATCCTAAACAATTTTATGGATTATATCCTAGAAATATCTAGGATATGGATATTTTATGATCTTAGAGGGTTGAAAATGATAAAATATGGATTTATATGAAAATCCCGCGTTGAATTTTACCAAGAACGGGCTTAAAACGTGAAAATGGTCGAAAACCGAGAAAAGGAGGCGAACTTCCGAGGTCTGAGGTGAGGGTTCGGTCCTTGGAGCTTAGAACCGAAGGTAGGTTCGGTCTATGGGCTGGGAACCGAAAGTAGCTTCTGTCCGAGGGATCTCGCAGGCGAAGTTGGTCGAGGAGGCGAAATGAACCGA